TTCTCTTTTGTATATCTTGCTCTATTTACTTCCCTTTTTTGTCCACTTTTCTCTTTCTCTTCTCATTTTATTTATAGAAAAGGCTTTAGAGTTTCTGCTTGTGTGTTTAACAGTTTGTTAGACAAAATATTGAGCAGTTTGGTAAATTCTTTCTCTTTTCTCCCCTTAAACCACAATGAAGAGGTTTTTTTTCCTTTTTTCCCCCTCCTTTCTTTCTAAACACTTATATGCTTGTTATATGTACTTGCTGTTTGCTGAAATTTTCATAAGCTTTCTTTCAGTATCAGCAAACTGCCAAGATTTCATTTAACCAAATTTCCTCCATATTTTGCATATTCTGCTAATTTATAACTTTGCAAAAAGCTTCTAGTAATTAGCTCTGATCTCCTCCCATATTCGCCTTAAAAACACACATAGCTAAATACTTGTACTTGCTTTTATTTGCAATCTTCTCCCCCTTCCTTGCCACAGAATGGGTTCCAATACCTCAGGCCTTATCTGTGTAAGTCTCCTCCATCTCTCCTTCTTTATTTGATCAGGTGGAAACTAACAGTTTTCTATTTTACTGCAGAGAGCTTCTTTTTGTGGATTGAAATCTCTTGCCGAGATCACCTCAGACTCAGACGCTGCTATCTTGTGGTTGTATTCAGCCGCCGGTCCATGAACCCCCTAAATACCGCCTCCAGATGCATGGTGATGTGGTCACATCATCCAGTCCCCTAAGCTAATTATTTAATGAGTTATGGCATTTGCTTATATTATGTGGTTATTATTGTTTACATCGTGTCACTTCAGATGCCTTTCACTTCTTTTTATTTCCTTTCAGTGTGATCGACTTCTCCACATGTTTGGATCTGTTTACTTTATGTTTATGGTCATCTACTTTCAAATTCTGGATGTTATTTGCTGTTCTGTTGTTCTTCAGGACTTGGTTTTGTTCTAGACTGTGTAAATTGATTTTCTACAAAAAAAGAGGAAGTGATCAGAGTTGGATACTTTTTTCTGATTGGTTGTTTCTGTTATGATCTGTGCTGCTGGATTTTACAATAAAGAGAGTTATGCAAAATATTCGCCTCCTGTCATTAAAATAAAGATTATAGGTACACTGCATTAGCATAATCTACAATTGCAGCTGTGAGTGTGCATTCATGTCACTTTATGAACAAAGGCAATTGTGAGTTCCCTTGGACCTTCATGAGTGATCAAACTGTAATACTACACTATTTGTATGATCAGCCAATTCCTTTATTGTCTACATAGTCAAATATTTCTGTTTCTGAGTATATATCTTATTAACAAACAGTACTGAAACACGATATATTGCACAGAGTGTCAAACGCTGCACCAGCATTTTAAAGGTTAATTTCCAGATAGATATGCTAAATGTATGGTGCATTAATTAATGTTATCTGATCAACATGACATTTAATACAGAGACTGCATAGAAGAGATAAACAAAAAAAATCCATGTTTATGCAGAACACTCTAAAATGGCACGAAGTCAAGATACATAAATGTAAATATAAACATGAAATTGTAATAAACCAAGCTATCACTAAAACATTATTCTTGCAACTGGTTTGCGTACACAACAGTTAAAGAACTTAATTTTCATTTCAAATACTTATCAAGAATACTTTGATCGCTACTTTCAGGTTTAGGGCTAAGGTTTTCATTTGTAATGATTAATAATTCAAACAGTAGTTAAAAAGGATTTTTCATTGAAAGAAAAAAAAAATGAACTGACTTTAATCAGAAAATGTGATTAACAGTGAGGAGTTTATGAAATGAAAACTTACTTTTCAGTAGTCACATTGCCATCTACTGACAGGTTTTTAATGACTACATTTTTTTTTCTAGTAATGAGAATATCTTTGCGATTATAATAATTTCTTAACATAAAATATGTGTATTGCAAAGGCCTATCACAATGCTCTTGTCAGTTGGCTATACTTTCTCTAGAACAAATGAAGCAATTAAAAACAGCTACGTTTTGTTATGTGCATAGCATCTCTTTGTATTCTGTGCGTCTAAATCATGGATCTCAAACACGTTCTAGTTTGGTAACTTAGAGCCAGATATAGTTTGTAGATATATAGATTGAGACCCCCTGCCAAAGCCCTGGACTTGTTTCTGTGAGTATTACGTATGTGTGGTGGCTGAGTGTTGTATGTGTTTTGGTGAGGCTAAGTGTTTTGTAAGCTAAGCTACAATATACGCACCAGCTAACTTATCTTCTAATAGCAAAATACATAAAAAGAAAACTGTTAGACCAAACTTAAAATTAGCTGGTTAACAGTGGTTCACTAATTACCCACAATTTACCTCTTGCATGTAAATTATATCACATTTATCATATCGAGTGATGGATAATAACTCAAATTTCACTCACATTTAAAAAACATCAAGGGCTACAATTACTTACTTTTTACTAATCTAATGTATTTGCTAATTTTAAATTGAAAAGAAGGAGGTGTTTTCTTTCTCCATACCATTTAGCTGGGGGTGCTGGAAGGTTCGATATACTGAATAGAGACAACATTTATTATACGTTTTTGGGCTGAATGCTACTAAGGGATCTATGCTACTGCAACTAATTTTGTTTTTCACTGTTAGAGTTTTTAAAATATCTTGCAAAAGCCACAGATTTCTTGTCTAAACTATTTTTTTCCTTAGCCCAAATACATTTTTTCCCAACGCAGTTCATTTAGAATTATTTGCAAGGCAGGTGTTTTAGATAACTGCTTGACTTTTGAATTTAGCTCCACTCTGCTAAACATCCAGGAAGTAACAAAACTGGTTGACAGTCGGGTTTATCACAATTATGTGACAATTTCTATTGAAATCTGCACACTTTGTAAAATGAGAAAAGAGAATTTACTCTTCATACTTAAAGCACCTCAGGACTCTAATATGCTTCAAGGGTCTGAAGTGTCCCTTTACAAACTTGATTGTTTTGCTATTCATTTTCCAGCAAGTAAATGGCTGAAATTTATGACACTGCACATCTCTGACAGAAATCAACATGGCAGGTACAGTGTCGCCATAAGGGCAGGCGAATCTGAAACTTTAAACCATAACCTCACCCCCAAATAAAACACAAACACTGGGGAAAAAAATGTCCAAAGCTTTAATTAAAAAAAAAATATATATATATATATATATATATATATATATCACCATAAACAAAAGCTATTGCCCACACCCCTTGCCATATTATATTTGAACATAGCCTAAATCATAAACAGGGCAAAGACCCCAATCCATAAATAATTAACATACAATATGACTTATAAACCAATAAAGTGCAAACACTTTTCCTTAACAGAACAGTGGTGGGGATATACCCAGAAACCCCCACACCCCTGAGGTTCTGAGCCACCATCCGACTCTAAACCTCCCATATATACATGTGTTCCAACCCACCAACTAAATCTACCAATCCTTATTCAGATGCACCTATGCCCACCTCTTAGCCCTGTTAGGGCCCCTTTCCACAAAACTGTGTGCTCGTTCCATGGGACTATAGAACCCATTGACATTTTCTCAACCCAAACTACAGGTTTTTATAAAAAAAATCATTACAAGTAGATAGCTGCGGTGAAGGTCTGCTCTATACCACATGCAAAAATACCTAGAAGGTACAATGATGCACAGTAATGATGCTCTGTTTTTCCCTAGCATTTTAGGTGTCTGAAAACAGATCCACAAGCAACTTGGGATGCATTATCTGTGGCTAATGATGACCCATAATAGGGCTGATAAAAACTGAGATAAGGATGATAAGTAAAAAATTTTCACGAGTGAAACGCTCTAGACAAAGCACATGTTTGTACGGACGAGATGCAAGATGGTGGAGACTTTGACAAAAAGATGGCATGCAACCCTCTAGCCTTCTTGATGTGTTGTCCGACATTATCCTAAACAAGTGTCTAAATTTGGTTGGTGATATCTGCAAGGCTATAAAAATCCTAGGGGCCTAAACAACTCAGGTCAAAGCCAAACTTGATGAATTTGTAGGCGCTCATAAAAGCAGATGTAACAGCAAATAGGCACAGATCCTTGCAATGAGAGCAGATTATCAATAAAGTAGTTGGTTCTTACAAGTGTGCAAGGAAGTAAGCTAACTTTAGCATGTGAAGACACAGTGTCTACAAGTTTAATCCAGAATGGACTCTGTAACGGATCACTTGGCACCTCGACTGGGTACCTCCGTTGATGGATGCTCCTAGTACTTCCCGAGGGCTCCAAGCACTCCACTTGACACAATAAGCACTGCAGACCCCACAAACCACTGCAGCTTGGTTGGGGTCTCGCCGTCTCCTACCCACCCTGGACATATGACAAGGCTCCAGGTTCCAGCGGGTGAACCTCTCTTTCCCCAGAGAGTGAAGCAGGAACAGGAACAAGCTCTTACAAGAGCTTAGTGATTATTCAATGTTGCATGAAGAGCATGATAAGTGCTTGTAGCAGATTCCCCCAATAAGAGACAGGGCTCTAGATTAAGGGTGAAGTAGAACTGAAGGTTTATTGCCAAAGCCTGCAATATATACAGTTTTCAGGCCAGAGGCACATCCCCTGGACCTGATGCAAAACAGGGACAAAAGGAACATGAACCATTGATGCATGGATAGTGTGCCAAACTGGATGCTGAGATAGAAAACTAGGAAAGGCTGTGATTTCAGTGTTCATGTTTAATTACATCTGGTTATAATTATGCAATTATGATATAGTAGCAGGGGCGTACCTAGAGCATTTGGCACCCGGGGCGGATCCTGTGCTTGGCACCCCCCCCCCCCAAAAAAAAACAAAAAAACCTGTAAATATTTTTAAAGGTTCTCTTTTTTTTTTTTTTACAATTTGTAAACTTTGCAAAACCGCTGTCCTGCCTCTCCTACAAAACCTCTGTCCTGTCCCTTCTACAAATCCTGTACTGCCTCGTCTACAAAACCCCCGCAACCCCCTTCCACAAATCCCCTGCTTATCCCCCCTTATAAAGACTCCTGTCCCAATACAAAACCCCCGCCCCCTTCTACAAAATCCCTGCAGCCCCACACACACACAGGCAGACAGTCACATACTCAGTTACAGACAGACAGTCACACACTCAGTTACAGGCAGTCACATACAGTCACAGGCAGACAGTCACACATACACATTTCCTCCGTGCGGCCAGCTTATTAGCTGTTTGCTTGTGTGAGCTGTACTGGCCGCACGGCACCCTAACTACCATGGGACACTGTGCGGCCACAGCTCACACAGCCCCCTCCAGCCAGGGCCGGTGCAAGGATTTTTGCCGCCCTAGGCAAAAGTAAAGTTTGCAGCCCCATGTGACATCACAATGCCCCACCCATATGATTTGCCATGTTAACTAGCATGAGTGCTGGAAGTGCGCCGTGTTTTACATTAAAAGGCCTGCAAAAGGACAGGCTATAGACACCAAACCACTACACATTAAGCTGAAGTGGTTCTGGGGACTATAGTGTTTCTTTAATGTGGTAGAGGTAGGCTAGTGCCACAGGCAGCACTAGATTGCCTACTTACAACCCAGATGAGAGGATGATGATGGGCTCTAGCTGCAGTCTGGCTCCACTGGTCTGGTGCAGAACAGGCACTCTGGGCGGTTTGTAACTGGCGGTCACAAAATCAATGTTCTGGGAGAGCGGGGAAGCAGCTCCATTTTTGGGGGGTCCTTTACACAGCTCAAGGTCTGGGTCCCAGGGTCCACCTTCATGTTCCACCAATGAGTTTGTTCACAGGGGGTGGAGTGTGTAGGGGATGTCCTGATATGTGTGTAAGGAATGCATCGTGTGAAATTGTGTTTGTATGTGTAAGGGCTGCAAGGTGTGTTTCTGTGTATGTATGGGATGCATTGAATGTGTGTAAGGGGTGCATTGAGTGTAATGGTTGCATTGCTTGTGTATGTGTGTCTGTGTGTGTAATGCATAGTGTGCAAGGGGTGCAAGGGGTGCTGTGGCGAAACCGGCCTCGCCACGTGTCCTTGGAGGGGGCTGCTTGCCCGCCTCTTGCCTTTGGACTATGGACCAGACCTTATGTGAATGTGTTATACCCCAGATAGGAATCCCATGGAGCCCATTCGTATGAAACTGACTGTAAAGACTTTGGTTCCATGGCGATTAAACTGTATTTGTGTGGTCCGAGCGCCATTCACTTAATAATGTGCGCTCAGACCTGAGCTATCTGGGGATATGTGAAATGTCTGTGTGTTATGTGTAAAATGTGACTTCATGTATTTTAAAGTGTTTTGTGTCTTTTGCAACCATGTGCTCCAGGATAGAAGACTCTGAAACTGGTTTGGGCCAGAAAGCCATGCTTCATTTAGTCACAAAGGACTTTTTACTAACTTTTGAACCCCTTGTCTGATTTGTGCCATTTTGAATATGTTGTTCCCCTGAATGGATTGATTGTGAATATGTAATTTTATGTGAATGTGATGTATGGTTTTGGAGTTATGAAAGTTGGGTAGAAAGTATGTTTTAACTGTATGCATAATTGAGTTTCCTCTCAGGATAAGGGGAGGGAATATGTGGGATGTAACTGTGATGTGATTGGTTGTTTTGTAACGCCCTGTGGGCTGTACTATGTTTGTGGATTGGGAATAAAAGAGACTGTATGTGACAGTACAGGGAGTTCCTGTTTAACCCTCAAAGTGAAGTGTCGTCTCATTATTGGGGGAAGGATTTATTGTATGCTGTTCCAGTTTGACTGCTAGGAGAGTAAACCTATTCGTATGGTTCCTATTCAACTGTCTACAGCATTCATATGCTTGAGAGGATTCATATGCTTCTCCGGTTCGGTGGTTGTGGTGTCTGCTGCAGTGCTTGGAGTCCTCAGGAAGCGCTAGGAGCATCCTTTAACGGAGGTACCCAGTCGGGGTGCCAGGCGATCCGTTACATTGGTGGCAAGCGGTGGGATGGCGTCCTAGTGCGAGGTAAAAGCAGCTCAGAGACACAGTTCGTGGATTTACAAATTGAAGGCGACGCTAGTGTTCATACAGCGTCCCTGTCTACATAAAGATTTGGGAAAACCAGCACTACTTCAGAGATGGAAGGCCGTGCAGTATCTCACTTTGACGCCAGGCTCCAGCAGCGACTACAGGATGTGATGCGCAGTATGGAGTATCCTATCCCAGAGGAAAGAGAGACAGAGTGGAGGGTGGCGCTTCGTACCGATCTCTGGAAGGAGGACATCGACGAAATTCGACCCTTCCGGTGCGAGGAAATCCTGACCACTAACCAGCGCCAAGCAGAACAACTAGAGCTGCGGATGCCGTTATTGGGAAACCAGCCCTCAGAGGAATGGGTAAGCGAACTGGAGACGCTAGTTGAGACTGAGGTGTGGCTGGATGATTCCTATCGGGCCCTGCGGTGGCATGTTTACCACCTCTACCCATGGCTGATTGAGTACAAGTGTATTGAGGGGGAAGACTACGATGGCCCTGGTTTGTTGTTGGATACTATTGAAACTTGTCTCTGGTTCGGAGACACCGACATTGCTCGCTTCTGGTCCATTTGAGCTGAGCGGGCAGACAACTGGGACCTTACAGAGATCGATGCCATTCAGCCAGATCTATCTTTTCTTGCCAACCGAGAGTGGGAACTAGAACAGGATTATGTTTGCCTATTCCAACGTATAACGCCGCATGTCTCTGACATGATGGGGCTTATGGACTGTATACCACCGGAAGTATTGAGTTTAGTTCCTCCTCCCCAGCAACCAAGCCTGTTATCAGGAAACCTTGGTACTGTACCACATATGTCCCAACCAGCCCCAGAGATGGAAGACCTTATTGACTTGTCCTGGGAAGACACCCAGCTGGCAGGTGGGGATGGGACCGAGGTCTCTCTACAGGCCCTACAGGGATGCTGGGCAGTCAGCCCAGATCCCCAGCGGCAGTATGTATCCCAGGGAGCTGAAGGTGCTGTACTTCCTCCCCAGCGGCAGTGTGTCCTGCAGGAAGCGGAGACAGTCGGTCTCGCTCCCCAGCAGCAGGGCAATATATTAAAAGGGGAGACAGTTGGTCCCCCTCTCCAACAGCAGAGAGAGTGTCAGGGAGAGGAGCTTGTTATCCCCTCTCCCCAGCGGCTGAAAGTATGTATGGGAGAGGAGCTTGTTACCCCCCCTCCCCAGCGGCAGTGTGTACCCCAGGAAGCAGAGACCATCTGTCTCGCACCCCAGCCGCAGGACAAAATATTGAAAGGGGAGACAGTTGGTCCCCCTCTCCACCAGCAAAGAGAGTGTCAGGGAGAGGAGCAGGTTACCCCCTCTCCCCAGCGGCAGTCTACAGTTCAGAGAGAGGAGCTTGTTACACCCTCTCTCCAGCGGCAGCCTAACCCACCAAGGGGAGATGTTAAGCCCCACAACTATGCAGATGGGACCGTAGTCTCTGCACTTGCAGCACCAGGGGCAGGGACGGTCGGTCCTGTCCCCCAGCCACAGAGCAGTGTATCCAGAGGGGAGACAGTCGGTCTCCCCCTCCCCCAACCAGGCTCCAACCAGGCTACTTCAGTGGTAGCGCTGGCACCCGGGCAGAGTACCGCTGGTCTCTGCCCACTCAGCAACCCACCAAGGCAGTCTACCAGCCCCCCGCACAGCCGTGGTGAGGCACCTGGACATGGACAAGTTGCTATTTTATCCAGGTGTAGTAACCAGTTATTGTGGGTGGGCTGTATTGCTGTTTGTGCTTCGTGGGTGGGTTGCTGGACTAACCAGGGCACTGACCGGCAGGAGGTCAGATACCCTGTTAGTCTGGATGGTAAAGGGGAGAAATGTGGCGAAACCGGCCTCGCCACGTGTCCTTGGAGGGGGCTGCTTGCCCGCCTCTTGCCTTTGGACTATGGACCAGACCTTATGTGAATGTGTTATACCCCAGATAGGAATCCCATGGAGCCCATTTGTATGAAACTGACTGTAAAGACTTTGGTTCCATGGCGATTAAACTGTATTTGTGTGGTCCGAGCGCCATTCACTTAATAATGTGCGCTCAGACCTGAGCTATCTGGGGATATGTGAAATGTCTGTGTGTTATGTGTAAAATGTGACTTCATGTATTTTAAAGTGTTTTGTGTCTTTTGCAACCATGTGCTCCAGGATAGAAGACTCTGAAACTGGTTTGGGCCAGAAAGCCATGCTTCATTTAGTCACAAAGGACTTTTTACTAACTTTTGAACCCCTTGTCTGATTTGTGCCATTTTTGAATATGTTGTTTCCCTGAATGGATTGATTGTGAATATGTAATTTTATGTGAATGTGATATATGGTTTTGGAGTTATGAAAGTTGGGTAGAAAGTATGTTTTAACTGTATGTATAATTGAGTTTCCTCTCAGGATAAGGGGAGGGAATATGTGGGATGTAACTGTGATGTGATTGGTTGTTTTGTAACGCCCTGTGGGCTGTACTATGTTTGTGGATTGGGAATAAAAGAGACTGTATGTGACAGTACAGGGAGTTCCTGTTTTAACCCTCAAAGTGAAGTGTCGTCTCATTATTGGGGGAAGGATTTATTGTATGCTGTTCCAGTTTGACTGCTAGGAGAGTAAACCTATTAGTATGGTTCCTATTCAACTGTCTACAGCATTCATATGCTTGAGAGGATTCATATGCTTCTCTGGTTCGGTGGTTGTGGTGTCTGCTGCAGTGCTTGGAGTCTTCAGGAAGCGCTAGGAGCATCCTTTAACGGAGGTACCCAGTCGGGGTGCCAGGCGATCCGTTACAGGTGCATTGTGTGTATGTGATGAATGTCAATCTCTCCTCCCGCTCCAATTTCCTTCTCCTCCTCCCAATTTCTCTTTCTCACCCCCCTCCTAATTTATCTTTCCCCTCTCCTAATATCTCTCCCTCCTCCTAATATCTCTCCCTCCCTCCCTCCTAATTTCTCTTCCCCCCCTCCTAATTTCTCTTCCCCCCTCCTAATTTCTCTCTCACCCCCCCTCTCCTTTCTCTTTCTCTCCCCCTCCTTTCTCTCCCCCCTCCTTTCTCTTTCTCTCCCCTCCTTTCTCTTTCTCCACCTCCTTTCTCTCACCCTCCCTCCTTTCTCCCCCCCCTCTCCTTTCTTTCTCCTCTTTCTCACCCCTCTCTCACCCCCCCTTTCTCCTTTTTCACCCCCCTCTCCTCTTTTTCACCCCCTCTCTCCTCTTTTTCACCCCCCCTCCTTTTTCACCCCCCCTCTCCTTTTTCACCCCCCCTTTCTCCTCTTTCACCCCCCTCTCTCACCCCCCCTTTCTCCTTTTTCACCCCCTCTCTCCTCTTTTCACCCCCTCCTTTTTCACCCCCTTTCTCCTCATTCACCCCCTCCTTTTCCTCACCC